CAATACAGGAGCTGCCCCCTGGTAGTCAGTGTGCTCCCACAGGGGGAGCGCCGCTCAGCCAGAAGCTGGGCTCATGGCTGGCAAGTGCAGCGGCGGTGGCGGCAGCCTCTCCTGCCTCCAGGAAATCCCCCGAGGGCTGAAGCCACCCCCCCCAAGTGCATGAATTTTGTGCACTGGGCCCCTAGTCTTTTAATAAGTTACTTCAAATTTTTTAAAAATTGTGAAAAAAAAGTAACATAAATTTGACCATCTTAATTATTTAAAAAAATTTTTTTTTGGTTAATCCTCACCTGAGGATATTTTTCCCATTGATTTTTAGAGAGAGTGTAAGGGAGGGAGGGAGTGGGAGAAAGAGAGAGAACCATCAATGTGAGAGAGACACATTCATTGGTTGCCTCTAGGACAGTGATGGCAAACCTTTTGAGCTTGGCTTGTCAGCATTTTGAAAAACCCTAACTTAACTCTGGTGCCGTGTCACATATAGAAATTTTTTGATATTTGCAACCATAGTAAAACAAAGACTTATATTTTTGATATTTATTTTATATATTTAAATGCCTTTTAACAAAGAAAAATCAACCAAAAAAATGAGTTCACGTGTCATAGGTTTGCCATCACTGCTCTAGTACATGCCCTGACTAGGGCCAGGGATCAAACCTGCAACCCAGATATGTGCCCTTAACCAGGAATTGAACCTGAGACCCCTTCTGGTGTGGGCTGATGCTCTAACCATTGAGCACACCAGCCAGGGTTTAACCAATTTGTTAATCCTCATTGGAGTATATGTTTATTGATTTTAGAGAGAGAGAAAATAGGGGGGAGGGGAGAGAGAAACATCAGTTGGTTTCTCCTGTACTTGCACTGACTCAGGGGTCGAACTGGCAATCTAGGTATGTGCCCTGACCGGGAATCAAACCCACAACCTTTTGGTGTACCTAAGGATGCTCCAACCAACTGAGCTACCAAGCCAGTGTAACCATTTAAGTGTATAGTTCAGTAGCATTAAATATATGCACATTGTTGTGCAACAAATCTCAAGACCTTTTTCAAACTGAAACTCTATACCAATTCAACAACTTCCCATTTCCCTCTTCCAACAGCCCTTTGGTAAAACATTACTTTTACTGGCTGTCAAATATTCTATCACATGCATGTACCATACTTTATTTAGCAATTACCTTATAGTTGGCTACTTAAACTTAAAATAATAATAATAATAATAATAATAATAATAATAAAATAAACTTACTATAATAAACAATTATAATGCTGCAAGAATATCCTTGTATATAAAAATCTTTGATTATATTCTGATCATTATCTCAGGACAGATACCTAGGAACCAGACCACCAGATGAAAGGCCAAAGGCATTTTTTGTAAGTGACATTTACAAATGACATTTTCTAACTGTTGAAAATCATTTTTTTTTGGTACACTAAATTTGTAAATGTTTAAGAATTGCTACATTTGGACAATTACTTTCCAGAAATGCTTGACCAATTTGGGCTCCATTAGCAGAGGATGAAGGTCACTGAGTAACTCATTGCTCCCTTAACAGCTTTGAGTTTTACTACTTTTAAAAAACTGTCAATATTTTTAGAAGAAGAAATGGAATTTTATTTGAATTTACAGCTCTTTCATTAATAGTAGGATCAGCAGTATTTCATTTTGGATCATGTAATTTTTCTTTTTTTTATGTAGAAATTAATTTTTTTAGTTTTCCACCTTCTTTTCTTTCCACCACCTTATAGCATAATAACATTAATTTTAGAAAATGAAAGGCCCGCCACCTTGGTGCTGGGGCTGCTGGGGGTATCGGCCTGCGGACTGAAAGGTCCGGCACCCAGCAGACCCAAGGCCTTGTGGCAGCACTAAGGAGCAGCAAGCCAAGCGGTAGGAAGCAGCAAGCAGGTGGGCAGTAACAAGGGAGGGGTCCCGGACTGCAAGAGGGCACATGCTGGGCTAAGGGACCCACAACCCATATATATATATATATATATATATATATATATATATATATATAGAAAATGAAGAAACTATAAGGAAGAAAAATACACCGCATAGTGAAGGACTTTGAATCTGGGTTTAAGAATATTGTCTTCTGATTCTTAGGCCCATGGAAAGTCTAAAACTAAAATAAGTAGTCATCGTTTTCCACTGGCAGGGGAAGGAGAGGCACTGGGTAATTCTGATTGATTCTTTGTTGATCAAACAGGGTGCCAGTTGGCTGAACATAAATGAGACACAAATTAGCAAATCCTGACTGGTCACCACTTGAAACCAGCAGGACTAGTTGTAATAAGTTGCAAAGGTACATGGGAAGGAGAACGTGGGAGGACAGCTGGGCACAGGGATTCAGGGCAAGATCCACCCTCGGGAGAGGGAACACCTCAGGAGTTCTACCGAGTTTCTCTAACTCCTGCCATCTGCTTTCAAGAACTCAGAACTGTAGGAAAGCCAAAATCTAGCAGGCAAAACTGCCTTCTTCCTGCCTGCTGACCTGACAGTCATTCCCTTAGTGTAGGAGTTAACTGTCTCTCACCCCATCGGGCCCCAGCAGTGTAAGCCCAGCGATTCGTGGGCTTGATGACTCAATACTTGAAGGCGCTCCCTACGAGCTGAAGCAGTTGGGACTCATCAGAGGTGGA